AAATGCCAAAAACTTTAATGCAGTTGGTGTCCTGATATACATGGACCAGACTAAATAAATTCCTTTTTTTCTTTCTTTTGCTCTGTCTCTCTCTCTCTCTCTCTCTCTCTTCTTTTGAGACAGGGTTTCAAAAAAAACCTGATGGTGGCTCATGCCTTTAATCCCAGCACTAGGGAGGCAGAGGTAGGCGGATCTCTGTGAGTTCGAGGCCAGCCTGGTCTACAAGAGCTAGTTCTAGGACAGCCTCCAAAGCCACAGAGAAACCCTGTCTTGAAAAACAAAAAACAACAACAACAACAGAAGAAAAGAAGAAGAAGAAGAAGAAGAAGAAGAAGAAGAAGAAGAAGAAGAAGAAGAAGAAGAAGGAAACTGTCCTCCTAGTTGGAACTCCTCCTAGTTGTGTAAGATTGTTACGTCTGCTGCGCGGCCTGTGTCCGAGAACGTGCAGAGGGTGTCGGGTATTGAAAACACAGAGACTCGTTCAATGATATAAAGAGAACTTTAAACAGGCTCCAAAAAGGTTCAAGAAAACCTCCTAAGAAAAGCTCCCACCAGAGAAGCTTCTGCTCTCTCCTCTCCCCTGGCTGGTTCTGCTCTGACCCCAGAGGTGGATGTGTGTGGGTTTTTGAAGGTGCGGTTAGTCTCTGGACAAGGTCGAGGTCAGGGCGGTTTCCGTGGGAAGGCCTTTCCCAGGAACTTATTGTATCATTTTTAGTAAACATGTTTTTACTAAACATTGTCTTACAGCTGCCTACTCCCAGGCAGAAGGGGAAGTGGCCAGGAACTTATTGTATCGTTTTTAGTAAACATGTTTTTACTAAACATTGTCTTACAGCTACCTACTCCCAGGCAGAAGGGGAAGTGGGTCTCTGCTCAAGGTCTGGTGTTCCCACATAAGATGGCATATTTACAGGATAAAAATGTGAACCTCTCTGGGCAATGTGCTGAAAGAAACAAGAATACTTAACCTTTTGGAGTTATTAAAGGTTTTGAGGAACCAAACCAGTACATTGTAGTAGGTGCCCACAGAGATGTCTGGGGTCCAGGTGCAGCAAAAATCCAGTGTGGGAACAGGTCTTCTGTTGAAACTTGTCCAAGCATTCTCAGATATGGTTTCAAGAGGTGGGTTCAAATCCAGAAGAAAGAAGCATTATCTTTGCCAGGTGGAGAGCAGGAGACATTGGAGCTGTTGGTGCCACCGAGTGGCTAAAGGGATACCTTTCATCTCTGCATTTGAAAGCTTTCACTTATATTAATCTGGATAAAGTTGTCCTTGGTATTAGCAACTTCAAGGTTTCTGGCAGACCTCTATTTTTTTTTTAACTGAAAGAGACCTTTTTTTTTCTTCAAAAGATTTATTTATTTATTGTGTATACAGTGTTCTGGCATGTATAACTACATGCCAGAAGAGGGCACCAAATTTCATTATAGATGGTTGTGAGTCACCATGTGGTTTCTGGGACTTGAACTCAGGACCTCTGGAAGAGCAGTCAGTGCTCTTTTTTTTTTTTTTTTTTTTTTTGGTTTTTTGAGACAGGGTTTCTCTGTGGCTTTGGAGGCTGTCCTGGAACTCGCTTGGTAGTCCAGGCTGGTCTTGAACTCACAGAGCTCCGCCTGCCTCTGCCTCCCAAGTGCTGGGATTAAAGGCGTGCGCCACCAACGCCCGGCTGCAGTCAGTGCTCTTAACCTCTGAGCCATCTCTCCAGCCCCCAGACCTCTATTATATACACTTATTGAGAAGACAATGCAGGACATAAAACATCCAATTGACGGGAAACCTCTACATGGAGACAGCAATTGGGTCAACAAAGTTGAAAAACTTTCCCTTGACAATGCTGCTTTCCCTTTTTCTCGCATATTCTGGAATCCCAGCAGTTTCTTTCCGGTTTTGTGAGGATGAGGACTGTCCTTATTTGGGCACTAATTTGGATACCTACAAGAAATTGATTCAGAAAGTGCCTCAGCAGAACTAAATGGTTCGTGCAGCGGCGGTGGCGGAAGTGGCTGGTCAGTTCATAATTAAACTTACCCATGAAATCGAGCTGAACCTGGACCATATGTGTAACAACAAGATGCTGTCATTTGTGAAGGGTCTGAACCAGTTCAGAGCAGATATCAGGGCAATGTGACTGAGGCTACAGTGGCTGTATTCGGCTCCTGGTGACTTTCCGAGCTACCTCTACACTAATGACTGACTTCCGTAATGCGGAGAAACCCAACAGATTTGTCACGAGGGAAATCAATGACCGTATTATGAAAGTGGAATATCACCACACCCCACGCAGGCACTTGTCACCACGCCCGTTTGGGTTGGTCAGCACCACAGGTGCCTAGTAAGATCTCTTCCTACAGTTTAGCGTTCCCATTCCCTTGGCAGCTAAGCTGGTTTCTGACTCTCATCTATTTCCTTGGGACCCTGCCTAATACTAATCTTTGTAGCCACTGGAGCCCTTCTCCTCGGTGCAACAGAAATCACAGCAGTAATTTGCAGAGAAAATGAAATACATTCTTTGATTAAGTACAAAATTGTTAACTATAAGCCAGTTTTGGTGGCCCACATCTCTGTGACTTTCAGGCTATCCTGATCTACACAGTGAGTTCCAGGCTAGCCAAGGCTACATTTGGAAAAAAAAAAACCAACAAAGGAATAACTGTGATTGATAGGGTAGGCAAAGGTGAGAGACTATCTAGGAGAGCTCAGTGCTTGTCTAACATTCAGGAGGCCTTGGCTCAGTTTGATGGCAGACGGTTGTAATCTCAGAATCTGGGAGGGGGAGGTAAGATCAGAATTTTAAAGTCACTGGGGTAGTGGTAGCGCCCACCTTTATTGAAACTGGGTAGGACTTTTATTATCACTATATGCTGGAGATTCCTTGGTGATAAAATTGCTCTTCCTTTGAGCGGGGCATAGTGGTGCACACCTTTTCCCAGAACTTGGAAGGCAGAGGCAGGCGAATCTCTCTGAGTTTGAGGCCAGCCTGGTCCACATAGTTCCAGGACAACGAGTGCTACACAGAAAAACCCTGTCTGGAAAAAACAACAACAAAGCCAAAAATGAGAAAGCAATCAGGAAGCACCTGCAGGTCTAGACCAGGGAATAAAGACAAAAGTTGGGAATTGCTGAACCTGGGACCCCTGGAGGGACTGGGCAGAGCCGCCCCGACCTTGGAAAAGTCTGGCGCTCCTGCCCGCTGTCTCCGCACTTGCAGTGACCGCAGAGGACAGGCTACCTAGCTGGCCGCTGGTGTCTGTGGGTCGGATGCTATGGAGCTGGTTCTGTGACTGTTGCTGGGGAAACACACCTCCAAAGTTCACTCTACAGCAGCTGCAGGAAGGAGAGTTAGAGTCCTAGCCCTTACATCACAGGAAGTCAGCTGAAGGAGCAAATCGCTCCTTTCCTCCTCTGGCCTCACTATCGCCCTCTCGTGGCCTTTATTGGCAGAGCCAAATACTGAGGCAGCTGAAGACGGTTATGTGATTTTCTCTGCTGAGCGCCAGTATCTTACAGCAGGAAAGGGAACAGGGATGGCAAAAAAGAATTTGAAGCGAGGAGCTAAAAACGCAGTAATTAGCAGCAGAGAGATCTTTATAATATGTACATGGAGCTGGACAGTTAGCTCTTCTAGAGAGCAGAGGTTCGATTCCCAGCACCACATGGAGACTCACAGCAGTGTGTAACTCTAGTCCCGGGGGATTCGACGCCCTCTTCTGACCTCTCTAGGCACTGCATGTACATTGTACACAGACTTATATGCAGGCAAAATACTCATACACATTAAATAAATTTTAAGATTATATGTATTTGTAGTTCGAGACCAGACTGGTCTGGTCTATAAGAGCTAGTTCCAGGACAGCTTCCAAAGCCACAGAGAAACCCTGCCTCGAAGCCCCCTCCAAAAAAATTACATTTTATTATTTATTGTGTGTCTGCATGTGCACCCATATGTGCCCATGCGGCAGCTGGAGGACAATTTATAGGAGTTGGTTTTATTCTTCCACCATGTGAGTTCTGAGCATCGAACTCAAGAATCAGGCTGGGCTATAAGTGGTCGCTGAGTCATCTTTCTGGACCTAAAAACTATATTTTAAGCCCCATCTCCACACAGCCTTCATCTGACTGAGCCTTACAATTAATTGTAGAACCCCATATAGGAAGTCAGTGGTGAAAGCTGAACATCTCCCAAGGCAGCCAAACTCAGGTCCATCTCAGAAGTCTCATGAGGACAGTCAACATAGTAGAACTTCCAGAGTTCAGTGTCCCAGAAAGGAAGGGAAGCCAAAGCCAGCAACAGACCAAGGAGTCCTTCCAATAGGAAATCGAGGTCTAATCCAAGATCATCCCCTAGGCTCAGGAAGGGTTTTGCTATGCCTGACCAGTGAGAATGCAGCAGCATTTCGTTAGAAGTCCCTCTTCCTCCGCTTCCCTTTTCTGACCAGACTTTACCCTTTCTTTCTTTTCCCTTTTTTTTTTTTTTTTTTTTTTGAGACAGGGTTTCTCTGTGTAGATCTAGCAATCCTGATTCTCTCTTTTTTTTTTTTTTTTTTTTTGAGACAGGGTTTCTCTGTGGCTTTGGAGGCTGTCCTGGAACTCGCTCTTGTAGACCAGGCTGGCCTCGAACTCACAGAAATCCACCACCTCTGCCTCCCAAGTGCTGGAATTAAAGGTGTGCGCTACCAACGCCCGGCTAGCAATCCTGATTCTCGATTTGTAGACCAGGCTGGCTTCGAACTCACAGAGATCCTCTTGCCTCTGCCTCCCAAGTGCTGGGATTAAAGTTGATCACCACCACTACCCAGCTGACTTACCCTTTCATGCCCTGCCAGTGGACACTGGGTGTATTTGTGAAGTGTAGACAATTTTTTTTTGAGACAGGGTCTCTCTCTGTGTAGCTTTTGGCTGTCCTGGAACTTCTGTAAGACCAGGCTGGCCTCAAACTCACAGAGATCCGCCTGCCTCTGCCTCCCAAGTGCTGGGATTAAAGACATGCGCCACCACTGTCCGGCTTGCAGATGACTTGTTTAATGTGTTGGTCGCCACCAATAACTGCTTGAGAGACTGTACTTAGAACAATGACTCCATGGAACTTGGGGTAAATGTATTCTGTAAGGAAAAACAGGTATTTGGCTCAGAAAGGCATTGACATACAAATATCTGAGTTTTCATCTTCCTGAACGCTGGGCCAAACTTCACTTCCTCATAGGGACTGCCAGGTTTAGCAAGTAGAAGTACAGGATTTGAATTTCAGATAAACAACCAAGAATTTCTCATCATAAATATGCCCTGTGCAATATATTTGGAACATGGTTAAAGTAAGAAAAGATTCATGATCACCTGTGTTCCCTTCCTTGCTGTAGATATGGTCACACGGCTGCTTTGCTCAATGGAAGGTTGATGGAAACAGTGCTAGTATCTTTGAGGCTGACCAGTGTGCTTCAGGATGTAGAGGAATCTGGGAAGTCATGGAAGGGCCAGGTCACAAAGCAAGGACTAGCTTCCCAATGTCTTGACGGATGGCCCCATCCCAGACCTGTACTAGACTACAGTGTAAACAGACAGAAACCTCTGTTCTAGACTACAGTGTAAACCAGACAGAAACCTCTGTACTAGACTACAGTGTAAACCAGACAGAAACCTCTGTACTAGATTACAGTGTAAACAGACAGAAACCTCTGTACTAGATTACAGTGTAAACAGACAGAAACCTCTGTACTAGACTACAGTGTAAACCAGACAGAAACCTCTGTACTAGACTACAGTGTAAACCAGATAGAAACCTCTGTACTAGACTACAGTGTAAACCAGACAGAAACCTCTGTACTAGATTACAGGGTAAACAGACAGAAACCTCTGTACTAGATTACAGTGTAAACAGACAGAAACCTCTGTTCTAGACTACAGTGTAAACCAGACAGAAACCTCTGTACTAGACTACAGTGTAAACCAGACAGAAACCTCTGTACTAGATTACAGTGTAAACAGACAGAAACCTCTGTACTAGACTACAGTGTAAACCAGACAGAAACCTCTGTACTAGACTACAGTGTAAACAGACAGAAACTTCTGTACTAGACTACAGTGTAAACCAGACAGAAACCTCTGTACTAGACTACAGTGTAAACCAGACAGAAACCTCTGTACTAGACTACAGTGTAAACCAGATAGAAACCTCTGTACTAGACTACAGTGTAAACCAGACAGAAACCTCTGTACTAGACTACAGTGTAAACCAGATAGAAACCTCTGTACTAGACTACAGTGTAAACCAGACAGAAACTTCTGTACTAGACTACAGTGTAAACCAGACAGAAACCTCTGTACTAGACTACAGTGTAAACCAGATAGAAACCTCTGTACTAGACTACAGTGTAAACCAGACAGAAACCTCTGTACTAGACTACAGTGTAAACCAGATAGAAACCTCTGTACTAGACTACAGTGTAAACCAGACAGAAACTTCTGTACTAGACTACAGTGTAAACCAGACAGAAACCTCTGTACTAGACTACAGTGTAAACCAGATAGAAACCTCTGTACTAGACTACAGTGTAAACCAGACAGAAACCTCTGTACTAGACTACAGTGTAAACCAGATAGAAACCTCTGTACTAGACTACAGTGTAAACCAGACAGAAACCTCTGTACTAGACTACAGTGTAAACCAGACAGAAACTTCTGTACTAGACTACAGTGTAAACCAGACAGAAACCTCTGGGCCAGAGAGATGGCTCAGTGGGTAGAGTAAAAGGTGCTTGCCACCTGATGACCTGATTTTGATGCCTCAACCCTATTGTGTTAGAAGAGAAGCAACTCCCAGAAGTTTTTCTCTCTCTTGTTGTGTGTGTGTATGTGTATATATAGAGAGAAAGAGATAGAGGCAGAGAAACAGATAGACAGAAAGACAGGGCATAGTGGCTCACTGCTTTAATCCTAGCAATAGGGAGGGAGAAGCAAGCAGGTATCTGTGAGTTGGGGCCAGCCTGGTCTACATATTGAATTCTAGGCTGGACAGGGCTACACAGTGAGATCCTATCTCAAAGGCCTTATTGTGCATGAACCACTGAATTTTAGAAAGTGTTATCCTTTTCTTCTCTCTCTCTCTCTCTCTCTCTCTCTTTCTTTCTCTCTGTCTCTTTTTTTTTTTTTTGAGCCCAGGCTGTCCTGTAACTCACTCTGAAGACCTGGCTGCCTGGCTGGCCTTGAAGTCAGCGATCTGACTGCTTCTGCCCCCTGAGTGTTGGGATTGAAGGCGTTTGCCAACATGTCCAGCTTTAGAAAGTGTTTTTCTGAGCTGGGCAGTAATGACACATACCTTTTGTCCCAGCACTCAGGAGGGTAAAGGTAGGCAGATCTCTGTGAGTTCAAGACCAGTCTAGTCTACAGAGTTCCAAGACAGGCTCCAAAGCTGCAGAGAAACCCTGTCTCAATACCTGTCCCCCCAAAAGCAAGTGTTTTTTCTCTCTCTTTTCTTTCCACCTCCTTATTTCTTCTCCTCTTTCTTCTCATATTGCAGACTGAACCCAGGGCCTTTTAAAAAAATTATTGGGAGCTGGCTGGAAGAGGGAACTGACCTCCAAGCATGCACGCACCCCCAAAATAAAATAAAAAATTTCTTTTCTTTTTTTTAAGTGCTTACTGTGTGACTTGGCATAATAGCATACACCTTTAATCCCAGCACTTAGAAGGCAGAGGCAAAAGGCCAGCCTGGTCTACAGAGGGAGTTCCTGGATAACAAGGGCTACACAGAGAAACCATATCTCAAAATAATAAATAAATAAGTAAATAATTTACACACAGTGTAGCCCAGGGCTGGCCTAGTACTTGTCATTGTCCTACGTTAGCCTCCTAAGTGCTAGACTCAGAGGACACCATGAGCAGCTGGGCCCCACCCCCTCCAGTCTGCACAGCTTTTCTCCCCCGTCCCGCCACCTGAGCCTTTTCATTATTTGTGTTCCTTGTGAGTGCGCTGCACACCTGCACGCAGAGACCAGCGGCCAGCCTTAGTTTTTTCAGGTGGGAGGGGTCAGGGTTGCCTCTCCATTCTGCAGAGATGTCAATCCACATCACTGGGGCTCCAGCCATCATCCCCTATCTGCCCTGTGAAGGGACAAACACAGGAAGATTATCCCACCGGAGAGGACATCTACTTTCTTGAAATGAGGTTCCCCATGAGGACATAGGGCTTGATGATTCTACTGGTATCTTACTTCTTTCTCTGTGTTGTTTTGGAGCCTGTCCTGGAACTAGCTGTTGTAGACCAGGTTGGCCTTGAACTCCAGAGATCCCCTGGCCTCTGCCTCCCGAGTGCTGGGATTAAAGGTGTGCGCCACCACCGCCCGGCCTTACTTCTTTCTCTTGCTGTGACAAATTACCATGACCAAGGGAACTTGTAAAAGAAAGCATTTAATTGAGCTTATGGTTTCAGAGGGTGAGAGTCCATAATGATGGAGCAGGGGTATGGTGATAGAGCAGCTGACAGCTCATAACTCAATCCAAAAGTAGGAGAGGGGCCAGGCGTTGGTGGGGCACGCCTTTAATCCCAGCACTTGGGAGGCAGAGGCAGGTGGATCTCTGTGAGTTCAAGGCCAGCCTGGTCTACAGAGCGAGTTCCAGGACAACCTCCAAAACAATACAGAGAAACCCTGTCTCGAAAAACAAAAGTAGAAGAGGAGGCAGAGAGAGAGAGAAAGAGAGAGAGAGAGAGAGAGAGAGAGAGAGAGAGAGAGAGAGAGAGAGAGAGAGAGAGAGAGAGAACAGTGGCAATGCCACAAATCTTTTGAGATCTCAAAGCTTGCCCTTACCTCCTAACTCTTCCCGATAGTTCTACCAACCAACTGGGAACCAAGTGTGCAAACACAGGAGCCTATGGGAGCCATTCTCACTGCAGCTAGGTTGTCTGGACAGTGAGCCCAGCTCCAAGTCCTCAATCTTGTGTGGCAAGCATTTTTATAGAATGGGTTACCCCCCCACCTCTTCTCCCCCTCCACAAATGTTACTTGTATCCAGTGATGATGTCATGTTAATGATATGTTAATGTAGTGATGTCTCTATGTGCTGTCCCATGCACCATTCTCATGAGTACTCTGTGGAATTCATGCTACCATATCCTTACATTAGCTTACCTGGGTACATATGAGCACATGTCTGCCCACCCTAAGACAGGGCTTCAGCAGCAAACCTGAGAGCCTAGCTTGGTGAACCAATGAGTTCAGTTAGGTCAGCCGACAGGAGTATTGGCAGCTTCCGCACCAAAGGAAAGTGCAGTCCGTCCCCAGCAACCATTACTGGCTCATGTAATCCTCAGGGAAGGGAAGGACCTTGTACAGTGCCTCCCGAGAATGAGTACTCCCTCCCCTCTGTGAGGGATGCTAATCGGCTCCATCCCACACACAGGCAATCGAGCACTCCAATGTTAGAATAGCAGCAGCCTTGCTCTACCTGGAAGACATGTAGATGAGAAGGCTGGTCCAGAGAGGGCCAGTCTTTGCCCAAAGCCTCACAGCCCCCCACCCCCCATCTCTCTTCCTTTGGACGATCCTAACCCTTGCATAACTACAATGGTCCTGTTTCTGAGGATGGTTCCTGACTCCTCCCCTTGGATCTGAGTCCACTTTTCCCAACATGAATGTGCTGATGGCACTATACACTCAGCGTGCCCCAAATACAGCTATTCTTTGGTGAACATTTTTCTAATGGTTTCCCATGTGGTACTATGTAATTTTCACAATTATTCTGTAAGACTATGTTATTCCTTTCCATGTTCAGTGCAGTTTTTCTTCAGTGACCTGGAGAACTGGTCCCAGGGTCCATGAAGGGAATCACACTCCTCACTCACACACACACACACACACACACACACACACACACACACACACACACACACACACACACACAAAGACATAGATTTTGTATATAACCTATGTAACCCTCTTGCATATTTCTTTTTTTTGTTTGTTTTTTGATTTGGTTTTTCAAGACAGGGTTTCTCTGTGGCTTTGGAGGCTGTCCTGGAACTAGCTCTTGTAGACCAGGCTGGCCTCGAACTCACAGAGATCCGCCTGCCTCTGCCTCCAAGTGCTGGGATTAAAGGCGTGCGCCACCAACGCCCGGCTTTTGCATATTTCAAATATCTATAATACATAATATGTGAATGGTATATAAATAATTGTTGTATTATTTAGGAAGTAATGAAAAAGTCACAAGTCTAAATTCTGCTGGGCGGTGGTGGTGCACACTTTTAATCCCAGCACCTGGGAGGCAGAGGCAGGCAGATCTCTGTGAGTTCAGCCTGGTCTACAAGAGCTAATTCCACAACAGGCTCCAAAGTCATAGAGAAGCCCTGTCTTGAAAAAACAAAAACAAAAACAAAAAACAAAGTCAATATACTTAGTACTGCTTTCCTTTTTCAACTATTTGTTTCTTTTTTCTTTTTCTTTTTTTTTTTTTTTCCTTTTGGTTTTTCGAGACAGGGTTTCTCTGTGGCTTTGGAGGCTGTCCTGGAACTCGCTTGGTAGACCAGGCTGGTCTCGAACTTACAGAGATCTGCCTGCCTCTGCCTCCCGAGTGCTGGGATTAAAGGCGTGAGGCACCACTGCCGGATGATGTATTTGTATGTATATATGTATCTGTGTGAGTTTATGCCACACATGTTCAGGGATTCATTCATGGAAGCTAGAAGAGGTTGGATCCCTTGGGACTGGAGTTCTCAAAGGGACTTCCCAACAAGGTTGCTAGGAGCCAAACTCTAGCCCTCTGGAAGAGCAGTATGCACTTTTAATCACTGAGTTATTTCTCTAGCATCAAGATTTTTTAAATGTGTTTTTGTATGTTTCTATGTGGGAATGTGCATGGGAGTGCAGGTTCCCAAAGTTTCCAGGTGTTGGATCCCCAGGAGCTAGAGTTGCAGGTAGTTGCTGTACTTGGGTCTTCTGTAAGAGTACACTGGGCTTTTAACTACTGAAACACCTTTCCAGTCCCTCCTTTTTTGGGGGAGGGGACTGAGACAGGGTCTCACTATGTAGCTCTGGGTGTCCTGAAACTGACTCTGTAGACCAGCCTGGCTTGGAACTCACAGAAACCCACCTTTTTGCCTCCTGAGTGCTGGGACTGAAGGTTTGCACCACACTAGGCTTTACAGTCCTCCTGCCCAGCCTCACAAATTCAGGGACTGCATGTGTGTATCACACCTTTACTTCATCCTCGACATAAAAAAATTCAAGTAGAGCCAGGTGGTGGTGGCGCACGCCTTTAATCCCAGCGGTTGGGAGGCAGAGGCAGGCAGATCTCTGTGAATTTGAGGCCAGCTTGGTCTACAGAGTGAGTTCCAGGACAGCCAGGACTATCTGTTTCACAGAGAAAGTCTTGAAACAAACAAACAAACGGGTAATTCTAACTTCTGTGTTTATGCTAAGGAATGTTCATATTCACACACACTAAAAAGTGTTGCTTTTAAAAGAATTTACCACTTCCCTAATGAAAGCATTTGTGTACTGGCCAGCAACTCACTATAGATATTTAAGGACAGGAGGTGTGCCTGTCTTCCTTAGTCCAAAATAGGCATTAAAAAACAACTGGTGAAAAGAATCATTTAAAATCTCTTAAGCCTCCACACTTCACATTTTTAGATTCAAACTTCCGCTCACTCCACCCCAGAGGGACTGACTACCAGAGACCCGTCAATGCTCCTTCTTCTCCCACCTTCATTAAAGAACAAAAAGACATCTATCTACCTCTAGGTCTGCAGCGTGTCTGGTTTGTATTTCAGCAGAGTCTTAGAAGGAAATGACTTCTCTCTAAACTGTGACCGCCCAACCCTGCTGTGGCATTCTTAGACCTCCGGTAAACAGGAAGCTTCCTGCCTTGGGCCCTTCATGTTCCTGTCTCAGACTATTAGAGACTGTTAATAGGCTGGTAAAAGGACAGCTGCTGGCCATAAAAGCAGCCCATTCCTTAGAACCTCAGCCACTAGCCCTCCAAGGTCAGGGAGAGAGCAAGCCCTTCTCCAGGTGTTGCTCACCTAGCAGGGGTCCTCAGGTGTAGGGTTTCTGGGGTGATGAGGTCTGGAGACCAAGCAATAAGAACACAGCTGCTCCGTGGGAGGTGAATCACCTCTCCTAGGAGGGGAACAATCACCTCTGGTTATCCCTTAAAATGAGACAAAGTGAAGCCGAGACCAAGGGACCCAGTGCTCCAGTCAACCGGACCCCAGCTCCTCCCACACATTTACTTTTGGGAGAGGGAGAAGTCCTAGGATTTGCAGCTGCTGGCTCAGTCTTTGCCAGCTGGAGGGACACTAGGGCAGAGGTGATTGTCTTTTGCCAAGAAGGGCACTCGGTGTCTTGGCAGAAGGCAGAGGGCTGCCCCAATCTGTGTGTACATTTCAGTAGCATTTGACTCTGGACCAAATGCTTGGCTGTGCTAGCTCTGTGGTGATGGGTGGGAATGCTAGTTGGCCAGGCTGGCTGGAGGCTCCCACGGAGGGTGCTGGGTCTCGGCCAGGAGCTTCCCTTCACTGGCAAGTTGAGCTTTCTGTCACGGTTGGAGGGAGTGTGTCCAAGTTCTAACTCTCAGCTTTCCAGAAGCTGCTGCGGATTGCCATCTGCTTTGAAGAATGCTGCTTATTGGAATTTTTGGCTCAGTGGGGAGTAAGGATAAGGATACAGAGCCAAACTCTTCTTACCTGACTTAAGAAACGAATTAACACTGCTGGGCAGGGCCAGCATTTTTTTTTTTTTAAGCTTAGACAGGGACTTATTCTGTAGCTGCCCTCAAACTCTCCTGCCTCAGCATCCTGGAGTGTTGGGCTAAGTATGAGCCACCACACTCATCAGGGTCAGTGATAGTAAAGAGCCAGGAAGCAGGTCAACAACCTGGAACACAGGAACAGAGCTGCAGTGCTCCCCTCCCCATCAGGGCTGCGGTGTTGGTGCCTCTGACTACCACACTCATCAGGGTCAGTGATAGTAAAGAGCCAGGAAGCAGGTCAACAACCTGGAACACAGGAACAGAGCTGCAGTGCTCCCCTCCCCATCAGGGCTGCGGTGTTGGTGCCTCTGACTACCACACTCATCAGGGTCAGTGATAGTAAAGAGCCAGGAAGCAGGTCAACAACCTGGAACACAGGAACAGAGCTGCAGTGCTCCCCTCCCCATCAGGGCTGCGGTGTTGGTGCCTCTGACTCATGCCTAGCAATCATGAGCTTTTGAGGGTGGAAAACCAGCCATCCTGGGTTAGCCAGCAGGTGTCATTCCTCCTCCATGGCAGCTCCTATTCAGGGTTGTTTCCGAGGTGAAGTGGGGTTCCTTTTTTTTTTTTTTTTTTTTTTTTTTGGTTTTTCGGGACAGGATTTCTCTGTGGCTTTGGAGGCTGTCCTGGAACTAGCTCTTGTAGACCAGGCTGGTCTCGAACTCACAGAGATCCGCCTGCCTCTGCCTCCCAAGTGCTGGGATTAAAGGCATGCACCACCAACGCCCGGCGAAGTGGGGTTCTTTTTAATTGGCCATAGGAAATGGGGGACTTCCCACTTAGGTCACATTTGAGCTCCCAGGTGTTTAGATTGGGATCTGTTGTTTAAGGGAACCTCAAGACTTAAGGCCTGAAAGACCTAAACCATACCCCAGGGACAGCACCCTCCTTGTTTTCAGAGTAGGTAAAGAAGGCTCTCAAAATACTTAGGATTACATAGTTGAAACTTGAGGATTAGAATCCAGGGTTCAGATCCTGTGCTCTAGCCGGGCGTTGGTGGCGCACGCCTTTAATCCCAGCACTTGGGAGGCAGAGGCAGGCGGATCTCTGTGAGTTCGAGACCAGCCTGGACTACCGAGCGAGTTCCAGGACAGCCTCCAAAGCCACAGAGAAACCCTGTCTCGAAAAACCAAAAAAAAAACCAAAAAAAAAAAAAAAAAAAAAAAAAACAGATCCTGTGCTCTGATCCAAACAATTTATTAATGAAATTAGGGCCTCACATGCTTTATTTACTACTGAGTTCTAGCTCCAAACTCTTACAATTTATAAAAAGTAACTCAGCAGAGCCTGGCACACACCGCTAGTCCTAGTCCTAGCACTAAGAGGCAGAAGCAGTTGGATCTCTGTGAGTTCAAGACCAGCCTGATCTCCACAGAGGGACCCTGTCTCAACCTCCCCTGATCTCCACCCCCAAATTCATTGCAAATACAAGTTTTAAAATTTTCATAGCGTAGAATTTTTTTTTTGGTTTTACAAGACAGGGTTTCTCTGTATTGTTTTGGAGGCTGTTGGTCCAGCCCAGCCTCAAACTCACAGAGATCTGCCTGCCTCTGCCTCCCAAGTGCTGGGATTAAAGGCGTGTGCCACCACCACCCAGCAGCGTAGAATTTTTTACATAAATGCACACATAAAGGAAACTTCAGAAATGTCTCACTTAGAGAAGGTGGCCCCTTTTTCTTTTTCACTGTCCTGTCCCCGCCATCTCAAGTGGACCAGGCTGTCTGCTAGAGCTTTGAGCAAACATTTAATTTAAATGTACACATGGGAAGCCAGGCAGTGGTGGCCTGCACCTTTAATCCCAGCACTTGGGAGGCAGAGGTAGGCAGATCTCTGAGTTCCAGGCCAGTCTGTTCTAGAACTTCTAGGACAGCTAAGGCAACAGTGAACCCTGTCTCTAAAGAACAAAAATCTCCCACATTGGTCAGCAAGAGGTCAAGCTTGTCTGATGCTTGTTGATCAAGGAGATCTGAGCCAACTCCATTCAGCACAGAACACAGCTCTTTCTCTCACTAAGGACAAGCAGGGGCTCCACTCCTTGCTATTCTCCATTCCTAACTGGACTCCAGGGGCACAGGGGGAGATCCTAAAGGACAGCACTCTCAGGGATGAGCAGGCAGTCCCAGCCAGTGTCTTGAAGTATTCAGCCTCTGGGTTAAATCAGCTTCCAGCCTGTCCCTTGAGATTCCAGGTCAAGTCCAAGGCAGGAAGTTGCAATGGAGGAGTAGTCCCAGGAGCCAGTAAGTCAGGAAGTAGCCAAGAATGCATCTTGTGACTGGAGAACAGGCTTTCCAGTTGTACAAGAGCTTCATGACACAGTTTCTGGAAGCCTCATGTCCTGGTGGGGAGTTTTTTTCAAGAAGCTTCTCAGGAGCTGCGTCTACAGATCTCAACAGTGGTTCTTGATTCTGAAGCAAGTGAGCTGAGAACCAGTACACAACAGGAGTGGAAGAGCACAAAAATCGTGTGAGAACCTAAGAAAACAAAAACAAAAATCCCATATTGATTGGAGCACCAAACATGTGGCTGGGTGAATCATGCCTGACAACTAGGAACTCACACTGGCAAAGCAAATTCAGCAAAGCTGCAGATCTGCCTGATAAAGATTTGTGTACCACCCGCCAGCAACTGGAGTTACCAGTAATCAGTCTCAGGCTAATTACCACAATAATTGGCCAACCAATACTAAAATCTCTATAGGGTCTTATTTTAGCCCACAGCCCATAATTTTAGCCTGTTGGAGGTTGGGAACCTGAGGAGGCTCTTTATCACATGGCTGGGGGCAGAGGGAAGCAGCAGTCACCTTCCCCATCTCACAGTTCTGAGCCAAATCGCCAAGAGCGCTCATCCACCTTGCAAAGTCTGAGCTTGCCTGGCACTCACTTCGAAGCTGATCCAGTCACAGATGACTATTTTGTATTTTCTCTAACCACATGGCTCAAAGAACATCACAGGTTGTCACTATATGCCTGTGAGGGGAGGACAGGTCGGCACAGTGAAGACTTCCTTGGAGACAGCCAAGAACTTAAAAATGGGACATACGATCAGACCCCTGAGGCAGAGGCAGGTGGATCTCTGTGAGTTCGAGATCAGACTGATCTACAAGAGCTAGTTCCTCCCCCAAAAACATCAAACCCCTGATCCTATACTGCCAATACCAACCCAAAACACTGGACAGGATAGTCTATTGCCTGTGCTCCACACTCTAAAAGACCATCATAGGTAATCTGTGTACTAGGGAAAGGGTCCAAGAGAACCTGTGTTCACCCCTACATCCCAGCTGAACACCAACTTCTCATAGCCTTCACACCTGTGCTTGTGCCCTCTGCTGTTTCTCTGTCTTGGAGACAGAATTTCGTGAAGTGCAAGTTGACATCAAACTCTCTCTGTGTATGAGGATGGTCTTGAATTACCTTTTGAGATAGTTCACTGAGTGGCCAGCACACAAGAGGTCCTCCTGACAGTTTCCCCAGCACAAGGATCACAGATGAACACCACCATGTCTGCTTTTTTTAGTGGGTGCTAAGCTGAGGATGCAGTCTCCTATGTGTGAGCACACACAGTTCAGCCATCTCCCCACTCCTACATGCTTCTTACATGGGAAGTTATACTCTTCAGAACCCATCTTAAATATGCTACCTTAAAGAGTCAACCACTTTTTCACATCCACAACAAATACACTCACTGATTGTGTGTGTGGTCAGTTCTCTTCTATCATGTGGATGCTAAGGACTGAACTCAGGTCAGTTATGCCTGACAACAAGTGCCTGTACCTTTATTTGTGTGCTGCGAATTGAATGCGGAGCTCTCAGATGGCAGGCAAGTGCTCTACTCTCAGTACATATGTAGTACTTTATTTTATCTGACCACTTAATTGGATTTTCTTTCTTTGGGGGGGGGCTTTTCTTTTTTTTTGGGTTTTCTGAGACAGGGTTTCTCTGGCTTTGGAGCCTGTCCTGGAACTAGCTCTTGTAGACCAGGCTGGTCTCGAACTCACAGAGATCCACCTGCCTCTGCCTCCCAAGTGCTGGGATTAAAGGTGTGCGGCATTTTATCTTACTTACATCCCATCCTCAGAGTTCTAATTTAGATTCTGAAACAAAGACAGACCCAGGTTTGTGTCTGTCTGGCTATGTGTAGCCTATGCAGATCTGAAAATTGCTTTGTAGTCCAGACTGACTTCAATTTGAAAGCATCCTGCCTCCTCCTCCTCAGTGCCTGACCACACCTGACTGTATACAGTTGTTGACTACATTAGGCATGGGCCATCGACTGAGGGAGTTACTGTGTTCCGGTTGTGAGGTTTTGCCGGCATTCACAGTCAATCCCAGGAGAAACCCACCTCACCTGAACATGCATGAACAGACCTCCAGAGAGCAGCAGCACTGCAGCATGGACCAGGTATACAAACACCTTTGGACTGAGGAAGCCAGGATGGGACTTCTCTAGGGCCTTACTGTCCTTGCTTCTTCGTAGTCCAAGTGTAAGGCAGAGCCAAGGGTGGGCGGTCACATATGTCCAGGTTGCCCACACAACCAGTACAGCCACTGGTGTAGCTAGTAGAAAATTGGGCACCTGCTTGAGCTCATAGTAGCGCAGAAAGCCAACATTCCAGTAGACATCCTGGATATACTTGTATACTAGAGGAAGACCCCAGGAGCACCATGGGGGCTCATTTCCCCCTGTAATCCGGTAGCCTTTATCTACAGCTAACCTTACCAAAGGCTCTGGAATGGAGTGGGCAGAGCCTGGCAAACAGAACTGGGTGTAGGCATAATACTGAAAGAGAGCAAAGGGAAGGCTGACAATGAGCACTGACAAGCAGAGAGAGGCCATCAGCTTCATGAGGGGCTTCAAGGGGTTCAGCTCCTCAAGAGAAGAGAAAAAGCCTCTGCACTGAGAGTGTAGGAGGAAGCCGACACTGACCAGCCCATTGGAGCGCACCCCAGTGGCAAGAGCAAAGAGCAACCCACTTGCCCAGCTCCGGCCCCTCTCCAGCTGCCCCATGGCACTGAATGTCAGGAAGGCAAACAAAGCTTCTGAGTAACCAGCTGCCAAGAAAACATTGGCAGGGCTGAGGCAGAAGAGCATGGCTGCATAAAAGGCCTGGCGGGGACAATGCAAAACCAGACAACCCAAGTCATGCAGTGTGACTGCAGTCAACGCGGAGAACAGGAAGTTGAGAAGTGCCACTGAGATCAGCAGGCGACTGCGCAGGCTCAGGAGGCCCTGCAAAGGTCTCAGCAGCTCAGTTCCCACCAGCAGGGCCAACGGGAAGCCAGGGAAGAAGGCAAAGTTGTGCTCATAAAGGTAGCCGTGCTCAGCGATAAACAGGAAGTGCTCTGCATCCCATCTAGACAGACCACCCAGGAGACCTTCCACAAGCTGGTCCACAGAGCCTGAGGAGGCCAGGCGGGGAGGAGAAAAGGCATCCGCATGGTGATCTGGGATGATGGCATTGAAGAGTGCCTGTGGGATGAAGGAGAACCAGGATGTTGGTGAGTAATGGAAGAAAAGAATTCCCACTTAATAAAATGGGAGAAACAGACTTGATATGGTGTGTGTGTGTGTGTGTGCTCGCGCGTGTGCGCGCACATGCATAAGGAGAATCAATGCTAACTAGTTAACTTTAGCATAGAGGTCAGCCAAGCAGGAGATGCCTGCGTCTACAAATGAAAGCAAGATCAGGATTCACATAAATTGGAGCTGGCAGTAGGGATGGTATTCCCAGGTGTGAGACTGAAGAAGACTGCCTGGGGAGGAAGTAGAGGTACAGAAGAGATCTAAAGACAGGGCCATTAATGATGAAGAGTCCTCCTGGCAAGGAGGTAATGATCCAGCATGGAGAAAAAGCAGGAAGCCAGACATGCTGGCATAAGCCTTGGATCTCTGAACTCAGGAGCCAGAGGCAAGCAAGTATCTGTGGGTTCCAGGCCAGCCTGATATACACAGTGAGTTCCAGGCACACAAGCAGACCAGTGAATGATGAGTGAGCTGTGGGAACCCAGGGGAGAACAGTGTCTTAGAACCAGGAGAAAACCAGGATTGAGAAAGGGTTGAGTGCTGCTGACAGGACCCAAGTAAGACAGCAACTGCAAACCTGTCACAGACTTCAACAATGTAATGGCCACTGGTGACAGTAGAGCTACTTCAGCAGAATGGAGGTGAGAAGCCACCTAGCTAACAGAAAAAGGGAGATGGTGCATGTAGTGATTGTAAGGAGTTTTGCTGAAAGATGAGGGGAGAAATGTGGTAGTAGGTAGAGCAATGTAAAGTACAAAGACAGAGTCTCATGTATGTGAATGGGGCTCAAAGTTGAAACAGAGCTGAGAAAGACCTTGAATTTCATCTCTCTGGCCCTGCATGTCCCAAAGCTTGTTATGTGTGTCACCATGCCTGGTGTGGGGGGGGGGTGTGGGGGTGGGAGGAGGGGATGAGAGATAAATTTTTGCACATTACTGGAATGAGCCAATGAAAAGAAACCACTGAATAGGGATACTGGAAGGAACTCTGGGCAGGTAACAGGGCAGCCAGTGCCTGCTGAACAGATGGAAGAGCAGAGATGGTTTATCACACAATCAGTAACGAAGCCACAAAAACACATGTAGGTAGCCTAATTGCCCTGAGACTTTATCCCGGAATTTGAATTCTTACTTGAAAGTATGAGGGGAAAGTTCTTATGCATTTTTTTTTTTTTGGTTTTTTGAGACAGGGTTTCTCTGTATTGTTTTGGAGGCTGTCCTGGAACTCACTCTGTGGGCTGGCCTCGAACTCCCAGAGATGCGCCTGCCCCTGCCTCCCGAGTGCTGGTATTAAAGGCGTGCGCCACCAACTCCTGGCTTTCTTATGGATTTGTAAAGAGACTGCCCTGTTAAGAGGCCCTGCTGCTCTTGCAGAGGACCTGGGTTTTATTCCTAGCACCCATATGATGGCCCACAACAGTCCATAACTCTAGTTCCAGAGGTTTGATGCCCTCCTTGGGCATTGTATGCATTTGGTATTCATGCTTGCACACAAGCAAAACACTCATACACATAAAATAATAAAACAAAGATTAAATTGTGAAAAGAGAAAAACGAATAAAATTTAAACAATAGTGACAATCCCCAGGTCTTTCCCTTAGTTACTTAAAATGGACTGAACAGAGCCTGGACATTAGATTAAAAAATATATTATGTTTTTATTTATTTTATGTACGGGGATGTGTATACGCCATGTCATGTGTGCAGAGGACAGCTTGCGGGAGTTGGTTCACCACACGGGTCACCGGGACTAAAGTCAGGTTATCAGGTTTGGAGGCATGTGACTACTCTCTGAGCCATCCTGTAAGCCCTGGGTATTAGAATCTTAAATTTTTCATTTTTATACGTATGTGTGTGTGTGTGCGCGCGCGCGCGTGCATGTGGACATGTATGCGCTCTAGAATATAAAATCCAGAGCCTCGTGCCAGGACAGCCTCCAAAGCCACAGAGAAACCCTGTCTCGAAAAACCAAAAAAAAAAAAAAATCCAGAGCCTCACACAAGCACAAATTCTACCATTGAGCTACATCTCCATGCAATGCTACATTTTTTAAAAAAAAGTCCCCAGGGGCTGGAGAGATGGCTCAGAGGTTAAGAGCACTGACTGCTCTTCCAGAGGTCCTGAGTTCAATTCCCAGCAACCACATGGTGACTCACAACCATCTGTAATGAGATCTGGCGCCCGCTTCTGACCTGCAGGGATACTTGCAGACAGAACACTGTATACATAATAAATAAATCTTTAAAAAAATTTTTAAAAAATTTTAAAAAGTCCCCAGGTAACAGTGATATGCAAAAAACATTTAAGAGAACAGGAGGGTGAGTGGGCTATACTAATGACTCATTTGGTCTTGCATTTAAAAAACAACAACAACAACAACACTAGTTAATATCCTTGCATGTTTCTTTTTTAAATGGGTATGAAGGACACAGATCACTGGGTATGAAGGACGCAGATCACTATATTCACCAAGATGAGACTTGTGTCTTATGAATAAAACAGGGATAATGGAAGAAGAGCGTTGCATGTATGCATAGGGGTTTTCACCACAAAGGAATAGATTTGGCTTGGGAAGAGGAAGCTGAAGGCTGGGGGGCAAAAACCAGAGCAACACGGTAGGCTCCATGGATTACAAAGCCAGAGAACCTGACAGAATCAGGTCTGAGGAATGAGCTGTAGAGACAGGAGATAGTGGCCAGAGAATGAGGTGTACAAACAGGCCCTCTGGCAGGGGTTGGCTATGGCGCACCACTATGGAGTGGTGAAGACAAGGTCCCTGGAAGGAAGTGGGATGATGACATGAGGATCGGGTGCTGAACATATCATCTGATTAATAATGAAACCACGGTCGTCAACAGAAGCAGTTACCAGTAAGAGCAACAGTGAACCAGGAGTTAAAATCTTCTAAGAATAACTGTCATTGACAGAGACAGCAACAGTGGAGGTAGCTAGGGATATAATCTGATAGCATAAGGAAGAGAGAGTGAAATCCAATTTATTGTTATACGTCTTTCTGCCTCACTAGGTCGTCAGTTACTTGAAGGAAAACATGACCTTCCACTTACAATTTAGCACAGTTTTGGGAATAGGTACTTGCTATAATTTCGGTGGCTGAGCTTCAGGGATTTGAGGAAATACACTGTTTCCAAAATCACACTGAACGAGAACACAGCTGTCCTGGCTCCTGACCCTAGATGCTGACTTGCTGCACTGCTCCTTTGGCTCTGCCAGGAATTCAGCTGATGCTGGTTCAGAGCCATCACTGAGTCAGGCTCCCCAGCCTAGCAACAAGAGCACAGCTCACTTAGAGGCTCGCTCTCTTTCCCATCAGTCTCTGTCTCTGTGTCTGTCTGTCTCTCTGTCTCTGTCTCTCTCTCCTGGCTGTCCAGGAACTCACTCAGTACACAAGGCTGGCCTCGAACTCACAAAGATCTGCTGAGTGCTGGGGTCAAAGGTGCCTACAGCTGCCTGGCTCTAGTCAGTTTCTTTATCAGGCCACTGTAAACAGTGAAAAGAAAAGGGATGGGGTAACAGTCACAGGCAACAGCACTGGCCTCCATGTTAATGGCACTTTCATCCTCAAAGCCAGCAGGAAGTGCTTCATTTAATGGGTGAGGGACGATTCAGAGGAAAGAAAAGGTTTCTACAAAGGAAGCAGCTAGGAGCCCTAGACGCGGGTGATATAGAAACATACATCATTATATCAATACAGCAACTCTAGGATATTGACCTATGTTCACTCATGATCACAAACTCAGGACAACCAAGTGTAAAGCACTAAGCTAGGCACCACGTATTTCATATATGTGTGATTTTGATTAAAACAGCTATCAAGGCAGCCTGGGGGAAAGGAGTGGCAAAAGGGCAAACACACTGAGAACCACCCGAGTGGCTAAGACAAGGGGAATCATTCCTGATGAATACTCACAGATGGTCTCAGAGCTCTACAAGTACCTCCTCTCTCCCTAGTCAACTAACAGTACTCAGGCTCCAAGGAAGGGAACCCTGGCAATACTTTGAGCTGTCAAGCGCAGCTTCAAAGTATCTCTGTTGGTGAAACCATCAGAAAACTAAGGTCTGTAAGAAAAACTCCAATTAGAGTAGGGAGTTAGGGAGCCTGAGGTCCAGCTCTGGCCCTTTATCTTGCTACATAGTTTTAGACAAATCCTTTAACCTGTCTGTGCCTCTGCTGCTTCTGCTTCATGTGTAAGACACAAAATCAAAACCACCACCAAGGCTCTTGCCCACTTTTCAGCTGCCAGGTAGAACCACACGACAAGGCACCCCACAGGGAGTGGAGAGATGAGGACCATTTGTCCTCCATTCGAGCTCAGTCACACAGCAACAGCATGTCCACGGAGAGGACCAGAGACTGACCTGTAGCATTAGAGTTAGGACGCGGCAGCTCACTGCAAATCTCAGCACCTCCTTCTGGGATGGGTTCGAGGGCCACATCCTCTCACCAGGTCTGAGCTTCCTAAATTCTAACACACAAGGAAGAAAATGTCACACGTGGGCCAAGAGAAAAGCACTAACATTTTCTTCACAGGAGCCACCCCCATCAGCATCTCATGGCAAATGGAATCATCTGACTTTGCAGAGGGAAGGCTATCTCAGAAGGCAGATGGACCACTGGGTGTCACTGTGTACTCTAGTCAGGAAAGTTCTACACTCAGATGAGCAGGAAGCTGGAAAGCTAAGCTCACAGAAGTTTTTAAAGCCCGTTGAATACTTTTATGTAGGAGTCAAAGACCTGGGTTCAAGTCCCAGATCTGTTACTTGCAAGTTCTCATTTAGTTCCTGAGACTCCTCCTTCTTATATGTAAAATGGGGTAAGACTACCCCCTCCCACCCCATCTCACAAATTTGTCATCATGGTAAAACAGACTAAACTAAAAAGCACTACACAAATCAATGTTGTGGCTGCTATTATTTGGCACGTACCCTTTCCCTCTTGCCCAGAATAATAAACTAATTCCCAAACCAGAGTCCCCAAAATGGGACACAGAACCATACTAGAAGCCCGTAATAACTACACATGCCAGTTTAGCTCTCTGATGTGTGTTCAGCTGGTCGGTTAAATTAAGTGGAGAAGGAAAAGAAAACCACTGCTCAGCAGGACTTCGGCCAGCTTCCATTGCTAAAACAAACTTAAGAGCAAAGACAGAGTTTACCACAGGGAAGGAGTAAACGACTAAATGCTATTTCCCATCTCCACAGGAGTGGCAACAATGTACAAAAAACCCAAAGCCATTCTGAGGCACAGAATGCACCTCAAGGCGTTTTTGGGTCTCTCTCTCTCTCTCTCTGTCTCTCTGTCTCTCTCTCTCCCCCCTCCCCTTTCCCCTCCTACTATGACGAAAAAGAGGTACTCCTACAAGTTGGTCTCTGACTTCATGACACACATGTAGTCACACACACATACACACAAAGTAACAATTAAAACAAAGTAGCCACACACATATAAACAAACACATGCACACAAAGTAACAATTAAAACAAACAAGCTGGGTGGTGGTGGCGCATGTCTTTAATCCTAGCACTGGGAAGGCAGAGGCAGGCGGATATCTGAGAGTTCGAGGTCAGCCTGGTCTACAAAGCTACACAGAAAAAACTCTTAACTCAAAAAAATCCGAAAAACAAACAACAAAACAAATGGCAAAGTCACAGAAAACACGGGAGAAAACAAAATTCTCGACCAAGGGAACTGGCTAACAGCGACAGTACTTCTTCCTTGGCACAAGGGGGCACTTACTGCTCACTTCATCACCAAGAGGCCAGGAGAAAACGAGGGCCCCTCATAGCTCCCAACTCCACATCGGTTTACCCATGAATGTTGAGTTTAAAGTTAAGCTTCTGAACACTCCCGGGAAGGAGTATTTCCTGACTACACACGGTATCTCCAACAGTGGATTCACTAAACCCAGAAACACGCACACCCATCTCCTCTGTCCTAGAAGGATTTCATCCCTCGCCCTCCCCCGCCTCCCCCCTGCCCCGGCCTCCCACCTGCGCGCACAAAGTAGAACAGAAAAGTATTGAATCCACTTCTGTATCTTGATCAGACTCGCATTCTCTTCCTCTTTCAAACTATGGCCCCAGTGGCCACAGGAGATACAACCCTGGCTTAATTTGCAGTTAAACTAAGTAAAAATCAACACAATTATTCCCCTAGCTATTTGCCAACTTCCCTTTGAAAGAAAACCCGACACTTAACTGGCAGGACGCTTAGAACCAACCAGTTTCATTCTTTAATTTTCCCGTGAGATAGGATCTGGAGATCTCATTAGACACGGGGAGGCGGTATAATTACCATCGCCATTTTACGGATGTGAAAACTGAGGCTCACTGGGCCAAGTGACACGCCCACTACTTAAAGTGCCTCATGCTCTGCTTTCTAAAACCTTATGCCCAAAGTCATGGGCTCGTTCTGCCAGAAACACAAAGGGTTTGCATTCCTTTCCAGCCAGGGCAACCCAGGTCTCCACCACCTAGCCCAGCACTTCCTCCAGCGACAGCACGTGTTGTTGCTGGAAGCTTAGGGTGACGGGCCCCATCTGGGAAAGCCTGTTCAACTTGAGTCCTGGACTCTCCTCAGTGGGATGATGCGCTCTGACCCAAGTGCTCAGGGCCAGAAGCCTCGCAGGGCCAACGGCCTCCTCCTGCTAAGCTCCGCGGTGACGGGAGCCCGTTCTTTTCGGACACAGCTCCTATCCAGGACGGGGTACTGACCCTCACCCCAAGGGAGCCACGGCCCAGGACTTCGTCCCGAGGGAACCGCAGGGCCGGGCCAGGCAATAGGGCCGGAAGCAGACGAGGGCCGGAGGCCGCAGAGGAAGAGGCGGCGCCGGGGGCCGCTATGGCGGAGGGGCGGGGCTCCTCGCTTCTCCACGGCCTCCGCCTAATTTCTCTCGGCTTCCGTTTGACAGCTTCCCTCCCCGGAGAACTCCCGAGCTCCAGGGCTGGCGCCGGGTCCTCCGCACCCGAGCGTCCAGACCACCCCCGCGGAGCTCCGACCTCAGCACCTCCATCCGGGTCCCGAGCGTCCCGCGCTTGCGCGCTGACTCCGCCGACGGCAGCCCCGCCCAGCTCCTGCCCGGACTCGGAGCGCCCCGCCTCCTTCCTCGGCGGCCATGTTGACCCCTGCTGGGGCGGGGGCCGAGTCTGTGCGTCGCACCTTCCCGGCGTGGTGACACCTGAGGAGTGTGTCTCTCGCTCGCTGTCAGTTTGTGCGCGGGCGCTGCGCTCTCGGTCGGCGCTCCCCAGTCCCATCCCGCAAGCGGCCTCGGACTTCCCGCAGTGGGCCGAGGCTGGACCGGGCACTACCCCAGGCCTCTTCCCTGCAGCCAGAGCCGGGCGTTCTCGCCTGTCCCTCTCTCTCACCAGCCCAGCACAGGGCCTGGCACACGATAGACAATATGAATGGGCAAAAGAAAGCCCTTTTGGGGGTTTCAAGCAGCGGTACCCCGCGCCTGGGTGCGAAGAAAGTGGGGGATCCCCTGGCTTTCCCTTCCTCTGGCTGTGGAGGTTCTCAGTCCCACCTCAGGTGGCCGTATAGGACGAGGAAGAAACCTCAGAGAACACCCCCGAGGACTCCTCCCTCAAGCAGTTTCTGTCGTAGGAAGTGGCGCCAAAAGCAGAAAAAAAAGGAAGCTAATTCAACAAAACCATCTGTTGGGGAGGGCGGCCAGTTGGTACCCCTGTAACGGAAACTGTTAGAACGACTTTGCACCCTCCCTAAAGGAAACAGATAATAAATCCTTCTCCGTTGGATTTCTTGTTTCTCAGGATTCCAAAGCCGCCTGTGGTTTCAGTTATCTGTCCTCTCAACGTAGCTTGGGTCTGGGTTAACCTCTGGCCACAACCCTGGCCGAGGGAGGGGTTTATCTTCTGCAACAGCCACTGATGTGGGTGGGAACAAAGAGATGGTCGCTATCTCTCCAAGCAAAGAAAACTTGCCCACATCAGTTTGGTGGGCACCAGGAGCCATATCGTTTCAGGCCCTGGAACTTAAAACTGTCTGCTGGATATTTGTGTTTAAGGTGGATAAAGTATAAGGCACATTTTAGTTGTTGGTAAAGAGAAAAAAGGAGTTTACAAAGTCATTCCCATGTTTTTCAGTGTGTAGAAACCACGCAATTGTTGCTAGCCGAGTGAGTGAAATGGCAACGCCTCTTTGGGCACACTTGTGACTTGTGAGTAGGGCACAAGGTTGTGACTTGAATCTCTAGAGGCTCTGCAGCACTCTGTCTTTTAAAGACAAAATGGAGAAATGAACTGTCCTTGCTTTGTGAATTCACAGGGGGCAATGCTCAAGGTTCTGTCTATTCACATCGAATTCCCTCAGAATCTACTTGTCAAAAACGCAGGGGCCCTCTTGTGAGAAATGAGAGTGTCTGCTGAAACACCCTTTGGAGGGAGAACTTTGTCTACTCTTCAGTTGCACTTGGCGGCAATGTCTTCCTTCCTTCCTTCCTTCCTTCCTTCCTTCCTTCCTTCCTTCCTTCCTTCCTTCCTTCCTTCCCAGCTACCCAACCCCCTCCTCTTCTGCTCTGTTTCCCGTTTCATTTTCTGGCTTCTACTCCTACAGGAAAACGAGGAAGCTGCATCTTAAGCTCTCAAAGCCCTGCCAGTCAGGCTTTTTAGACTGGAAGGTGGCAGGATGGGATGGGAGCCGGCACTGGGGCTCCAAGGCTGGGAGGTAAAAGAGGCAGTACTCTGCAGTTTGCCCCCACAGTCTGCAGTTAAAACGGAGCCTGCAGCAACACAGCCAGCCGAGCCACTAGAAAGAGAGAAGGCAAGGGAGACAGCCAGCCATGTCCCAGGGCTCCAGAAAGACCACATTTCCCACCTTGCATTTAAAAGGAAATACTCCAGGGAACAGTTTCACAATACAGATTCCTAATCAATGCAAGCAATGTGCCGTGATTTCTACAATCCTAAAATTCAAGAGGATGACATCATTTTTGTTCTTTGAACTTGTCTGCCTATGCATTTTTTGCTCGAAACATCACATCAGACCACCCTTTGGCTTCATGGACAAATTATGTCCATCCTCATCTGTCACCCTGTTCTGTCACTTGTCTGTTTCAGCACCGTCTGCTTTATCCTGTCTGTGTCATTTCAGTACCTGTTTTCCTCTTTTGGAATATTAACTTCTGAAATACAATGGAAGACCAGGAAATCTTTCACCCAAGTATTAGAACACCTGGAAAGGCAGCGTGAGCAGGGAGTGTAAATCAGTAACAGAGTTCTTGTCCTAGATTCAATTAATCCTTAGTGCTACAAAAACAGCAGCAAAACCTCACAGTGCCTTGCATGTTTTGTGATTGGGGAACAAATCGATTTAACTTTATGCCATATTTTGAACATAAGGAAATCAAGGTTCACTAAAGGAATTGCCCAAGGTTACATGTGTTTTGAATTTAGGTCCCAGTTTTCCAAGTTGGCTCTGTTAATATAATTGAGCAGCCAGGCAGTAGTGGCACACACGTTTTATCCCAGCACTTGGGAGGCAGAGGCAGGCCTGGTGTACAAAGTGAGTTCCAGGTCAACCAGGGCGGTTGCACAGAGAAACCCTGTCTTGAAAGAAAAAGGTATTATTATTGAGACAGAGTCTTGCTATGTAGCCTAGCTTGGCCTCAAACTCATTATCCTTTCTACTTCAGCCTCCTGAGGGCTGAGATTACTTATATGTGTGAGGCACCATGCCCAGTTACTTCATGTAGTAATTGTTCCCAAGTTTAAACGTTTTATCTCTTCCTGGCTAGGAGTCTCTAGGAACTGCACTTAGTATCCTGTAAAAGGCGCATCAAGTCCTAATAGTACCTACCTTCTCTTTCTTCCAGTGGGACCACACCAGGCCACTGGCAATGAGGAAGCGCCACCAAGGAAGATGTGTTCAGAAACCACTGGCCCTCAAGTGATTTACGAGTGATTAGCATAAAGTACTCTTTGGGGCTGTTCTAACCACATGTCCAAAGAACGGTTTTCCCACCGAGTACGTAGACACCAGGCTCCCCTCCCTGAAGCACTCTGACAATTCATTGCTCCTCGTAGCTTCCTTGCCTTGTCTGCCTCCACACCTGACATGACCTGGGCCCCAGGCTGGGCTGAGAAACTGCCCCAGTGTAAATATCTGTTCTCTATCGTGTTTCCAGGCGTTAAATTTTCCAGAGCCTGGCGTTGGTGGCACACGCCTTATATCGAAGCACTCGGGAGGCAGAGGAAGGCAGATCTTTGTGAGTTTAAGGCCAACCTGGTCTACAGAGAGTCCTAGGACAGTCAGGACTTTTTCAGAGAAATCTTGTCTCCAAAAACCCAAAACAACCCCCCCTTCAAAAAAACTTTCCAGAGCCCCCTTCCTATGGGATTGCAGTAGCTGACCTTGACCTGGGACACTAGATCTGATGCCACACCATGGAGATGAAAGTGACCATATGGCCCTGATTCCTTCCCAGCAACTGTCAGTAGTCAAGGTTAGTGTTCACGATGAACAGTGAACTTTTTTTTTTTTTTTTTTTTTTTTTTTTTGGTTTTTCGAGACAGGGTTTCTCTGTAGCTTTGGAGGCTGTCCTGGAACTTGCTCGGTAGTCCAGGCTGGTCTCGAACTCACAGAGATCCGCCTGCCTCTGCCTCCTGAGTGCTGGGATTAAAGGTGTGCGCCACCAACGCCGGGCGAACAGTGAACTTTTGATACTTCTCACTGTACATAAAACAATAAAAAACTATTCACTGACAGTTTCCAAGGATGCTGTGAGTATTCACAGCCATCCTGACATCTGATATGACATCAGTTAGGTTTTGGACAGTTACCAAAAATATCCTGTTTGACCTCTGCCATGTCCCACACACCCCAGGTTACTAGGACCCTTCCCTGTTTCCAGTTGCAAGTGCCAACACTGATGCTTCAAAAACCATTGACATGTACAAAAGCACCTCCTTCAGTGTTTGCCTTCAATAGTTAGAAGCCTTGATTCCACTGAGAGACCTGGTGGGAAGGCCTTAGTCCCTTGGGGGTGGCAGTGGTTGCCAAGCAAAAGAGCCAATCAGCTTTAGGCTGGACTTGGCTGCTGTCCAGCTCTGAAAGAAGGTTAAGGTCATTTGGGGGTGGGTGGGAGGGAGGAGCCTGGGAAAAGAACTACTGGCCACACCCGGGTTTCTCTACTGGCCAGGTTCTATTTACTTCTCAAAAGCCAATTACTCACAGCTCAATGGTCAGCAGTTCTCTTGGCCAGTGGTAACTCCTGTCAGAAACTGGGGACTGGGTTAGGCTGCTCCGAAATTGCAGGCGAGCCGATTAAAGAAACCCAGGAAACAGAACTCCTAGGTAATGCTCCACACACAGCCCAGAAATGCACTCTCTAGATTGGAAAGTTCAAGGCCCAAGGCAAAAACAGCGATTAGTAGTTATTATTAAGTAAAATAGATATGAAAAGCATCCCCCCCACCTTTTTTTTTTGTTTTTGTTGAGACAGGTTTTCTCTGTGTAATAGCCTAGGCGGTCCTGTAACTCACTTTGTAGACCAGGCTGGCCTTGAACTCATAGAGGTCCACCTACCTCTTTGCCTCCCAAGTGGTGGGACTAAAGGCCCCCACTGCTCCCCCCCTTTTGTTTTTAATCAGAAACCATGTAGGTTGACAAAGGTTTTTCTTTCTCAGTAAGTACTACTTTGCCATTCCTGTC